GGGGAACAAGATAGTGGAGAGACCGGAAGAGAAGGGGAACAAGGTGGTGGAGAGAGAGAGAGAGGAGGAGGGGTGAGGACATGAACATTGAGGAAGGGAGCTGGTCCCCTCAGTGGGCCTGGAGGAGCGGGAATGGGGGTAGCCAAGATCCTCCACCGAGTCCGTCAGAGAAGAGCCTCCCAGTAATAGGAGTGGTAGAGATCAGCGGTCCTTGGCAGAGGCCTGGGCTAACAAAACCTGGGAAGGAGTACACCTAACCCACAGATCTGGGTGGCCGCGCAAAGTCCAAAAAGCCTGCACATATGGGATTTCACCCCACTTTCCGCTCCGGTGGCAATAATTAGTTAAGTCAGTGAGGAGGCCAAAATCGAAAGTTTCCTCAGGGGGCCAGCAAGATTGGTTGTCCAAGGGGTACTGAGGCCAGGCTTGAGAGCAAAGGAAGACCAGCTTCCGTTTGTGAACTTCCCAGGACAAATATAGAGTAGCCAAATTAGAAATGAGACACTGCAACGGGGTCTGAGCCTCTGCTTTTGAGGGCTGGTTCCCCATGTCTGCGTCACCTCCCCAACTAATCGCGCTGAGAGGAGTGCCCAGCATCCCAAGTGCACCAAGTCAGAGGAGACGTCCTGGGAGCCTGGGTGAGGGACGTCTCCCACACCACAGGGCCAGGGGTGGGCCGGATGCCCACAGATGTCCTGGGCCCTGGGTTAGGGATGTCTCCTGCACCGCAGGGCCAGGAGCGGGCTGGATGCCTGCAGAGGGTGGGCCAGATGCCCCAACCAGGATGTAGCTACAATTTTGACTGAACCAGGTGAAAATGGGTTAGGAAGGGAAACAGACCGGGGGAAACTGAGGGACTCACCGGAAAATAGTCCACGCAGCAGAGAACAGGCTGAGGTCCCGGGTTGGGGAAGGAGGGGGCAGGGCCACCAGTGGCCGGTCAGGGCCCCACACTCATGCTCCTTTCAGGGTTTGGCACCAAATGTAAGATAAATTCTAGCTGAAATAAGCAGGCAATGAGAGGCAACAAAGGGCCAGTCTGTATATTTGAGCGCAATTCCCGGGCGAGGTTCACCAGTCTGCAGGGACATAGGCTGGGAAAGTTGCGTCCAGGAGGGGAGGCAGGGAGTTTTTAAGATAACAGGGAAGAGAGGGGGAAGTGGGCCGTGCTAGGGGTATGTGGGGAATTTTTATTGGCTCAGGGTCAGGTGATGGACGGCCAGAGGTCTCCTCCTTCTGGATGGAGGGGGTCTGCATCCGGGGTTTGTCGGCTCATCATGGGACTGGAATCCAGAAAGAGCTGTTCGTTCCTTCCCCATACTGCACAGAGCTACTTGGTGCTGTGTATGCTCTGCCTGCATTTTCCTTGCTCTTCTCCCTCCAGTACCTCCAGCCTTACACCGTATTGAAATATTGCTGAGATTTTTGGGCTCTTCAGTTTTACAGTGGTTATCCACCCCTCCCCCACTTCTCACTCTAAGATGTAAGAACAGCAATGTTTATAATTATTTTGTATTGAGAAACAGTCAAACTCAAACGTTTTTTCAAAAATCCTGTAAAATTTATTGACTTCCCACTCCAACTACCTTGTGGCAATTGAAATAACATAATGTGTCTTCCAGACCGTTTAGGATCATTAGGCAGGGCCATGCCTTAACTTTTTACTACTGTACTGTCAGTGCCTAACCAACTGTGGGTACATTCCTTGACCAAATCTTATATAAAGCAGTGTATGAGGCCAAGTTAAAAGGAGCACTTTTCCCCCCCCTAAAAGACAAGCAATAATCTACAAACCAGCCTCTAAATTTGTCCAAGATTATCTATTAGCTGAATTCCAATTTGGAGTGAAGAGATACTAGACAATTTCATATAAGGAAAAAGGTTTTGGCAAGAGAATGGGAAGCTCGTTAAGTACAGGGTGGTTGTGGCAGTTACAACTGCAGGAATTAACAATGTTTTAACCACATCAGGGTAAGACAAGGTATGAGGGATCCTGAACAGATTAAGTGTAAGCAAAGGTCATAGATATTTGCTTACATATAAATAAATGACGAATCAAATCCCTAATAGGTGGTCAGTCTTAGCATCAGTTATTAGGGGAAGAAGTCTGTTAATAGATCAAAAACCTAAATGATAAGACCTAGGGAGGCAGAAGAGTTTACTCTTTGTATTCTGGTACAAAATGTCAAATTTTGTGGAAGGTCACTTCTAATTTGGCTGATAGTATGATCTCCAGCTGACATGCCAGTTGAGCTAACCTGTTCTTTCTAAATTGTAGCTTCAAGGCAGTTTAGAATGGGATAGGCTATCTGAATTAGGGAGACAATGTAAGTTAGATGGCTTCTGTTATGAAAATTCTTAATTTATGTATCCCTCTTGCAGTCCCTTTCATTCGTTTAATCTCAGCTCTTCTATGGGAATTAGGCTTGTTTTTATTTTACTCAAGTCAATGTTAAAGAAAACGCAAGTCAATGTAGACAGTATTTCCCTCCACCAAGTTCTTTTCAAAGTTAGAGATCCTTGGAGGTTCTGGTCATTCTGGTAAAGAGACAGGCCTTTACTTAGACATGAGCACTGCATACATCAGAAATCTATTTAGAGGCCAAGATTCTTATCTGCCTAGCTCACTGACATATCTTTAGAGCTTAGAATAGTGGGTGCTCACTAAATTTGGAAAACAATTTACAACTTTTACACCAGTGAAAGGCAGATGACTTTCTCACAGAGAAATACGGAAGGACAAAGTCATGAAACTACTTTGAAGTACTATAAAATCCTCATCTTACAAGATTTGTGTTACATACTAATTATTTCAAGTTGTATTTTCAAATTTCCCCTGCATAAGCATGTTTATACCTGACAGTTTTATTATACTTTAATGTAGGAGATTGCTACTGACAAGTGATTCAAGATTGTTCATCTTTTCATAGAGAACTTTTGATATTGCTAGTTCATCTAAGGTGAACTAGAAGAGCTCCAGAAATTTGGTCAAACAAAGAAAATCCTTACAGTCAGATACACTGTTGAAACTACTGCCATTTAACACGATTTATACTTAGATTTTTTTTATAAACTTAGATGTCTTGCATTTTTTAGGACAACAAACAGAATAAAATCAGGATGAAATTCAGGTATGTGGCAATTTAGTTTCAGTACATCAAGAACATCTACTTCAAAGTTCACAAACTCCAAAATATTCTCTTCCAGTAGATAATCTACCCAAATGTGGGCTTTATGCATTCATCACAAATCTAAAACAGGCCATAATTCTTTGAGATTTAAATTTAAGGCTGTTTAAATAGTAATGGCTTCACATAAACTTTGTTTCCAACTATTTCTGGAGATTTTGATTCTAGATAAAACATTTTTGCCTAAGAAACCAAGTGTTTTAAAAAATTTGGAGAATTGGAAAGGTGAGAATTTCAGCTTCATTAACAGATTATTCTCTGATTTAACATTCCTCAAAGTTCTATCAAGATTGACTACACCTATTATTTAGAAATCTGACTCAAGCTGCTTTTCCATACAGCTATGTTATATGGCTGTATCATAAACTAGGACCTAGTTCCTATGGTATAGCTTCGTAAGGGAAGTCCAACTCAAGATCCTCTGCCACATGATTTCTGGAAAAATTCTCATAGGCTCACCACTCCTACTCACAGCAATAGCCAACTTCCAGAAATGCTTAAATCACCTAGCAAGAAAAGCACCAGTCTGGGAGACAGATAGTAGTGTATGCCCCCATCTGGCCGAACACCCAGCCATTAATGTTTAGGTCCACTTCTATTTCTTTTAAACTCTGAATAATGGTAATGTTTAGTCTTTTAACACTCATTTAGGAAACAGCCTTTCACAAAGTAAGGTAATAGAAGCTTTCCAACTACCCTGTCTTGTTTGTTAACAAAGCCCAACATTTTCTCCAAGCATAATGTGGTAGGCAGGTCCACTGATCCCCCACTCTTGGTGTTAATATCCCTATGTATCCCCTCCTGCACTGTAATAGGCTGGTATAATAGCCAGTCTATGACCAACAGAATATGGCATAACTGATATCACCTCTGAGGTCAGGTCATACAAGTATGGTTTCTGCTCACTTGCTCTGGGAGAAGCCAGATGCCAGTCATCAGTCAGGCAGCTCTGTGGAGACATGTATAGAGCGAGGAATCCCTCCAGCAGATATGCTAAGTGACACCATCTTAGAACCAGCTCCTCCTCCTAGTCAAGCCTTTACGATGATGTGGACCTGGCGGACAGTTTCACAGCAACCTGATGATGTCTTGCATTTTTTAGGACAACAAACAGAATAAAATCAGGATGAAATTCAGGTATGTGGCAATTTAGTTTCACATCTCAAAACCAGAGCCACCCAGCCAAGCTGCTGTTGAATTCCTGACTCAGGAACTGTTGGCAATAATATTAGCTGTTTTAAGCTAATTTTGGGGTGATGTGCCATGTACTGAACTAAGACATACCAGGCAAAGACCACCTATTATTTCTTGAATAAGCAAAATTCAAATTACACTTTTGACTAAGATATTATTTTGTAATGACAAAATTTTAAATTCGTTTGAAATTCAGAAACGTAAAAAGCAATTCACAACTCTACTTAACTCCTTCCTTGGTGCTTATACAGAGAAATTTTGAGTAGACATTATTTGTAGTCAACACACACTAATCAGATCACAACCTGAAGTGTCTAGTGTTTTTAACAAATTACATTCAAAATACGGCAGCAGTAAAGAGTACCTGAGGTCTTACTTTTTCTCTCACTGGGACAGAATGTAGATACTCAGCCAGTGTTTCTAACAAGTTCCGAAAGGTCTGAATTAGGTGGTTTGATTATGCTCGGCCTATTTTAATTAGTTTTTAGTTAGATGTAAAAGCAATGTGGAATGGAGGTAAATAAACAATATGGGCAATAATAAACAATGACTACATATAGTTGTTGATCTCAGAATTCAACACAATGGTTTTCTTTGACATTTACCAGACATCACAGATTACTACCAGAACATCACATCGTTTATTTCAGATGTAACAGCAATGTTAAAATTAACAAGTTTAATTCTTAACTGCACCAAATAAACTTAGCCATTTAAGTATTTTTATAGTTATTCCCTCCAAAAAAATGAGGGAGCTTTTCTTTTCCACCCCACATACCACGGTTTCCCAAGTTCTGTTTTTGGAGGACTTTCAATTGATGAGTAAACTGCTTTGGGAATATTGCAGAACTTCTTCCCCCAAATGAAAACTAATCTGGACAAGTTATATATTGCATAGATTTCTCTGCAGATTTTTTTCTTCAGAACCTAAATGCAATTACCACACAGTATAATTCTTATTTACCCTACAGTAAAAACTGTCCTCAAAATATGGATATATCCCGTGATCTTTCAGTTAAAATAATTTTTTTACCTCATGATAATTTTCACTGTATTTTATAATAACCAACTCAATATGGGACATTATTTCAGTCTTTACTGACTCCCAAGCATATGAAGCAGTGTGCAGCTTCTATCCCTCCTGCATCCTCCTCCGTAAGTGGATGGAATTATTTAACACAAGTTTGATGTGGGACAAATAACCCTTTACAGACATTTACAATTTAAGTAAAAGTCACTGACCAACATGGAAAAGAAGCACTGTAATAATAGGGAGCCTACACACTCAATTCAAAATTTTAGTATTTTCCTCCTTAAATAACATGTACTTAAATTGTCATGAGGCAGCTATTCGGTTTTCAATAACCACATTTAGGGATACATTCATAGGACTTTTAGATAGTCCAGGTGAAATGGTTATAGAAATAGAGGCAGTGTCATCTCGGAAAACTCATTTATGTATCAAATCTATTCTGACATACGGAAATTTACAAAAAGGCTGAATTCTTCAAACTAATTATGCCTTCTGCAACTCAAGTAACTCTTCTCTTGGCAAGAGCAAGCTGATGCTTATCCATGAAGGTAAAGATGCTTAATGTTAAACTTTTCTTCTAAGCTTATATTTGGACTCCTTAAGAAACAGATACCCAAGAAACCAGGATGGTATTTCTAAATTTTTACTATCTCAAGATTAGAACCCTATAAACTCATCAGCTACCTTCCTTTTCTGTATTGTTCTTGGCACTCAATTAAGACTATTGAAGTCTATTATACTTTGTACTTTCACATTCTCAAATAAGAACTCAAGATTATAAAATGTACACAATGTGTAAAATAATTTTGTCATTTAACATATTTAGAGATGAGACTTTTATATCAGAATTTACATGAGGATAAATATGAATTAACTTCCTTTTAAAGTCAAATGACAGAAAATTAAAGCCCTGTGCATTGTTTTAAACTCTGATGAGAACATTTCTTGGGCGACCAGTATTGGCAACTTAAGAAAACTATAAATATTGGATCTGGGACTCTGGAGGGAAACATGAAAATTTCAGATGTCTTCTATCTTATAAAAAGTTATCAACCCGTCAAAGTCACTCCCTATGTGCCAGAAAATGATTTGGCATAAACGAGTCCTGTCAGTAAAGGAGGTCACAGTGACGTTTACATTACTAACACTTCTAGACTTCTACTTTTCCAAGAATAGAAGCAGTATGTTTAACAATTCCCTCTCCCCCAATTCCATAAACTCACCATCACTCACTATCATAGGCACAGAATATAAGCAAATCTGGGATGTTCTCCAACAGATAAGCAATAATAGCACAGCTATGTTATTCTCAAAAAATACTGTCTCGTATTCTTTCCTATATGTGTAATCAAATGCTCAGTGGCCACTTTTAACAGCCTGCATTGGCTCACATTATATGCATTTATTGTGCCACAAGTCCATTTAAGCTTCCTTTTAAGTATTTTTTTAATATGTCCAAGAAATAACACCTGCTACAGGTTTATTTAAGGGTATCGATCTACAAGGACATCAACTCAGTTTTTAAGGTTAGCCTTTTACGGGTTTACTGAAGAAAAAGGACAGAAGGGAAAAAAGTAAATCACAACAAACCTCTTAAGTCAGTTAAAGGCCATATCTCTAGCTGGGATATTAAAAAAAATTAATCTCACCAGCCCACACTCTAAAAGTTAATGCTACTAGTAACAATCAACAGCAGGAAAAATAAACCGGCTAACAACCTGTTCTCTCATTAGCAAAAGCAGTTTAACTCAAATACTGAGACAAAGTATAACACTATCCACCCAAACTGTCCCAACCACCCTCCATCCACCAGTTCGGAAAGAAAAAATAATCCCCTAAAAAACAAACAAAATAAGCTTAGTATTTCTTTCAAGGGTATCAATGGTCCAACTCCTGAGAGAGTACTCAGAAGGACAACAGGGGACGTGAAGGCAATGTCTAGGGATTAGTATCCCACAGTCTGGAAACACCCAAAGTACCACAAACACTAACTTGTCTATGAATTAGAGAACAAGATATTGGTGCTGCTTCTTTGTCTTTTGAAATATACAATATTTTGTAGGCCCTGCCCTTCAATGTGAAAGCAGTACATTAAAAAAAAAAAGCTAAAAATTTTGAACTCACACCCCAATTTTTGGGACCATATATCTTAACTGTGAAACTAAAAGATCTATACCGTCTCCTTCCTACAATGAAAAACCACCTCACAAAAATAAGACAATGAAAACAATCCAAACATGATTAATTTTAAAAATTCTTGAAAGTATTAAAACTTTTAGAGGAAAGGGAAGAAAAGAAAGAAGGAAAAACAAGAACAAGGAGGGAGGAAAGCCTTAAAAGAAAGAGGGGGGAAATCAATAGGCCTCTCTTTTATTTGGCGACAAGCAAGTGCAAGAAAGTTCCTGTGATTCGCTCAGTTATCTGACTTCTGCGCATCTGCACTCTGGCCAGAAGGGGCTCTGAGGTTTTTCTGCAGCACATGGGCGTCTGCTGGCTCTATCCTCTTATAGTAGTTTTTCTTTGTCTCAATGACCTCAAAGCCAAACTTCCTGTAGAAGTCAATCGCTGATTCATTGCTGATCTGGACATGCCTGAAACATAAGAGGGTATTGGGGGAAAAATTTTTCATCAGCTTTTTTTTTTACATATTCTCCACAGATAGCTTTACCCCAGTTGGAGCTGGAGTACTGAAGACATTGGTTAGACTATCTCTACAATTAATAATCAACAAAGATTAGGTATTCATCTCAGAAAACCTTTTGATGACAAGCTTACATTTTTTTTTTTGAGACGGCATCTCTCATATTTATTGATCAAATGGTTGTTAACAACAATAAAATTCAGTATAGGGGGGTCAATGCTCAATGTACAATCATTAATCCATCTCAAGCCTAATTCTCGTCAGTCTCCAATCTTCTGAAGCATAACGAACAAGTTCTTACATGGTGAACGAATTCTTACAGAGTGAATAAATTCTTACATGGTGAACAGTACAAGGGCATTCATCACAGAAACTTTCGGTTTTGATCATGCAATATGACCTATAAACCATCAGGTCAAATATGAATATTCATTTGATTTTTGTACTTGATTTATATGTTGATCCCACATTTCTCCTATTATTATTATTATTTTTATTTTTAATAAAATGCTGAAGTGGTAGGTAGATGCAAGATAAAGGTAGAAAACATAGTTTAGTGCTGTAAGAAGGCAAATGTAGATGATCAGATGATCAGGTGTGTGCCTATGGACTAAGTATTAATCCAGGCTAGACAAGGGCAGCAAGACATCCACGGATGCAGAAGATTTCTCTCAAAGCAGGGGGGGTGAGGTTCTGAGCCTCACCTCTGTTGATCCCCAAATTCTCACCTGATGGCCCCCCTGCGACTGTGCCTGTCTTAGGTTGTTCCTCCCTTGAGGAATCTTACCCGTCTCTGGCTAACCAGTCATCTTCCGGGGCCATACAGGGAAATGTAAAGTTGGTAAGTGAGAGATAAGCCATATTGTTTGAAAAGGTTAGCTTTTTACTTCTTTGCAGATTTATGCCCTGTGGCTTCTATGCCCAGCACTTGTCTCGAGGTATCTTTACCACCTGGAGGAATTATGATACTCGGTAACTTCGATATGAGGCATGAATTCTATTTAAGGGTTGTAATTAGGAAGGAAGAAGAAAGACAAGCTTACATTTTTAACCTAACTCTTACTTGCAAGACATCTAGCTGAGATTAGGAGACTCAGGTATAGCCTTTACTCTTAAAATTAAAGTACCCTAGGTACCACATAATAATACTTTTTTTTACTTCAAGGAGAGAAAAGATTCCTGTAATTAAATATGAGTAAACAACCATAGATAATGATAAAAAACTAGGGTCTCAGACACCTGAATACATCATCCTCCTGAGTGATTAAGAGAAAAAAAAAAGCTGTATTTTGAAAATAAATAATTAGTTTTCTCAATTATTTCTCAAAATAGCATTATAGAATTTAACTTCTCCCACTGCCAAAGTGAAAATGAGAATACTCTTAGTATCTGTATTACAAACAACCTGCAGTTGTGATCTTAGCCTTGGCTCTTACTCTGAGGTCTCTTTTAAGATTCAAGTATGGTATCAAATAGGTACTCCTTGATTTTAATTGTTAAAACTCTACTACTAGTGAGCATGTTACTGAGAGCCTTGAACAAAATGCAGAGTGTAAACAGACAGCATTAACTGTTAAATTCTGAAGACCTGAGTTTTAATCTTGGTGTCATCCCTGTAACTTTGGAGCTCCCATCCCAACAGAACAACAAAATGAGACTGTTTTATTTCAGGTTCATTACTTGTTATTAAAACAAAATAAAATAGAACTTCATAACCACCACTTCCATGGTGTTACCAAAAGACAAATAAGTGATCAGGTTTTAAACTATCTGGTATAGATTTCTATTATTAAATTCTTTAGATAAGAACATTAAACATCATTTTACTTACAGATAGATGTTGTCAAAAGTGCCATCTTTTTCACATATGTTTAAGACATGATTTAACATTTTAGTTCCTATTAACAAGAAAAACAAGTAATCTTGTAAAAATTAATCTTTGAATTACACATCAAACTGCCATCTTAACATTTTGAGCATTCATAGATTTTATAAGGTAACACTAGTTATCCTGATTTTCCAAAATTTTCTCACACCTATACTACCAACGTATGTTTAAAACTGTTAGCACAAAAGCAACTTTGATATACAAGCCTTTCCAGGTAGAATAAAAATACAAATAGCCAAAGGTACATTCGTAACAAATCTATATAGAGCTTCCAATAGAATTTATGTTAAAAGAGTTGTTTATCACCTTGTCTTAAATGATTTAGTACCTTTTCCCAGTATTCCTAAAAGAAAGGTTGACTTGCTGGGTCAAGAACAACAACAATTTATTTATTATGCTTCTTTGAAGAAATAAAAAAACAAATAAAATAATTTTACCTATTCCTAGCCTTCGGTACGGTGCCAGACATCCTAGTGTCATGATGTAAAGTCTCTTCTGATTCTGTGAATGGTCCACCCTACAGCACACAGCACCTACTGCAATATCATTGAAATAGGCTGCCATGGAAAATACAAAAAAATAAAAAGTTCAACAGATGAATAACACATTTTATTACATCTATTCCTCTTAAATAAGGACTAACGTGTTGCTACTAACATTAAATTTTGTCCATAGCCTCAAAAACTTCGTACATCTTTCAGGAATTCACACCTCCTCTAAACTAACACTAAATATGTGAAAACACATAGGCATACACTAAATAAGAAAAGACATTTAGCATTTCCTTTTAAAATTCAAAATATTTTATCTTGATTTCTTTGAGATTTTCCCCAGAACCTGAATCACTCCCCATTTCCTCACTTGTAAAATACGGAGATTCAACTAGTTAAGTTCTTCTGTTCTAATATTAAAAACTAGGGGCCAAGAATATAAATAAACAAATGAAGGGAGGAAAAAAATCCCTATCATACCAAGTTTTGCTAACTCGCCAACCTCCAACACATCCTTGTAGAACTTGTCATTGTAGCTGACTGGAAAGATGACCTGGTTTAATCTCTTCAACTGTTTAATATTGTGTGGTGTCACATCTCCAAGTTCGATCCGGCTACTGGAACAAACCAAAATGTACTCAATAAAACATAATTAGTTTAGCTTCATTTGTTCAGATGAACGTAAGTCTTTTTTACATGATTGATAAATCCAATCCTTTTAATAGCGACTTTATATTCCTATGAAGATTACAATTCATAAGATTTTGCCAGCCATTCTATCCAGATTCAACTCATAGCTTTTATGCAACTGTGTACATTTTAGACAAATATAGTAAACAATTACTAAAAAGGCCACAAAAAATTCTATATACATGCCAGAATTTTCCTTGTTCACAGTTCAAAAAAAATGTAAAGACATCTACTACTGATCAAAGGACTTATGATACCTAATATTGGCAAGGAGTGGCAAAGGGGATTCTTATATTCTGATGGCAGAAATATAACACATATGCTACCTCTGGAGGACAATCTAGTACTACTATCAAAAAGCCTAAAAAGTACATTCCCTTAAGTCTAAGTAATCACCCTCCAGGAATTTATTCTAAGAAGATATAATCCAAATATGTGAAAATTATGCACATTCTATTCACTGAGCAGGAACCATCCTAATCAGAATCACATGGGGTGGTATTCAGAATACAGATTCTGGGACCTGATAACCTACCTTCAGAAGGAGAATCTTTGGAAATGGAACAATGGAACCCACAATTTGAAAACCAACCCCCCCAAACAAAACCCAGTTTGAAAACTATCAAAAATACAACAGTACCATTTCTAAGAAACCATATATAATCAAACCAAATGGTTCCATGGGAAAAGAGATTAAAACTAGTTTCCAACTCATAGTAACAAAGTTGTTTTTGACTACAGAGCTGTCAACAGAAGGAATTTTTCATAGGTCAAGTCAATTTCACTATCATAAGCTAAAGGTTGATCAAATGTGACAAGACAAACCTGAGTAGCATCTACACAACGTTTTCTTCCTAGTAATACCTAGTACTATCAGTAGTAGAGAGGTGCTTATATACATTATTTGCCTTAAAAAAATCATCCAACAATGAGTAATAAAAACATTTAAAAACATCAAGTCAAAATAAAAATGGGCACCCCCCCTCAAATACCACAATCTGATGTCAACCAAGCAGCTAGAAAATGTGATCCGGCTACTGGAACAAACCAAAATGTACTCAATAAAACATAATTAGTTTAGCTTCATTTGTTCAGATGAACGTAAGTCTTTTTTACATGATTGATAAATCCAATCCTTTTAATAGCGACTTTATATTCCTATGAAGATTACAATTCATAAGATTTTGCCAGCCATTCTATCCAGATTCAACTCATAGCTTTTATGCAACTGTGTACATTTTAGACAAATATAGTAAACAATTACTAAAAAGGCCACAAAAAATTCTATATACATGCCAGAATTTTCCTTGTTCACAGTTCAAAAAAAATGTAAAGACATCTACTACTGATCAAAGGACTTATGATACCTAATATTGGCAAGGAGTGGCAAAGGGGATTCTTATATTCTGATGGCAGAAATATAACACATATGCTACCTCTGGAGGACAATCTAGTACTACTATCAAAAAGCCTAAAAAGTACATTCCCTTAAGTCTAAGTAATCACCCTCCAGGAATTTATTCTAAGAAGATATAATCCAAATATGTGAAAATTATGCACATTCTATTCACTGAGCAGGAACCATCCTAATCAGAATCACATGGGGTGGTATTCAGAATACAGATTCTGGGACCTGATAACCTACCTTCAGAAGGAGAATCTTTGGAAATGGAACAATGGAACCCACAATTTGAAAACCAACCCCCCCAAACAAAACCCAGTTTGAAAACTATCAAAAATACAACAGTACCATTTCTAAGAAACCATATATAATCAAACCAAATGGTTCCATGGGAAAAGAGATTAAAACTAGTTTCCAACTCATAGTAACAAAGTTGTTTTTGACTACAGAGCTGTCAACAGAAGGAATTTTTCATAGGTCAAGTCAATTTCACTATCATAAGCTAAAGGTTGATCAAATGTGACAAGACAAACCTGAGTAGCATCTACACAACGTTTTCTTCCTAGTAATACCTAGTACTATCAGTAGTAGAGAGGTGCTTATATACATTATTTGCCTTAAAAAAATCATCCAACAATGAGTAATAAAAACATTTAAAAACATCAAGTCAAAATAAAAATGGGCACCCCCCCTCAAATACCACAATCTGATGTCAACCAAGCAGCTAGAAAATGGTATTAAGTCCTGCTTACTCAGTGCCAGTTCAGATCACAGTGGCACTAGTCAATAGCAGTGAAATGCAAACAATATACCCTAATTAATAATTTGCATCATATGCACATAGGTTTTGAAACTCTTGTTGGAGAAGTAACTCAATAGGAATGTTAATCATCACATTTTTATAATGGCAAAAAAGAAAAAAAAGAGGAAGAAAAAGAAAAATTTGTCTACCAATAAGGAACTGGCTAACCACATTTATACTTTTAGCACAAAACACGTGATAAATTGTTCTGGCATGGAAGGAAGAGAACATTCCAAGTACGTATGTATGTATGTGTGTGTATGTGTGTGTGTATGTATATATATATATACATATACATGACCCAAATTTGTTAACACATATTGAAAGATGTTTGAAAGCATATTAAAAGTGGTCAAAATTGTAAGTAATTTAAAAAATATTCTGTGAAATGTTACAATTTCAATAACCAGAAAATAATAGAACATATGGTTCTTAAAAAAAGAAAAACTGATTACAGATGTGCTCCGTTAGAACTTCCAACCTTCATGCCTCAATTATTTCATTTTTATGCTATTTTTTATTTATTGTGACCACAACTACTCTTGTGTATCTTGTATGTCTTATTAAAACTTGAGCACACTGACTTCCTTTGCAGCCAGATTTTTAAGATGCAAACATCTTAATACAAAATACAGATTTGTTATATTCTCTTCCAATTTCTAGACATGAGTAAATAAAAGTAAATGTGGCCTTCTCCCAAGTATCTGAAATGAATTCCGAGATTCGTATCTTCTTTAACTAGGTCACTTACATTCACAGAACTCCCCTCCTCATTAAGCCACCTTCTTTGAGGCTAAAGTATGTGACATTTCACCTAAACCCTTTTTCTGATTAGAATCTACTGGACTCACTTATCACAACCCATCTATCACTAATGGGTTTTTTTTTTACTGGCAAATACTGTTATAACATTCAAGATCCCTTAAAAACACAGGGATCATGTCCTCCCCACACTATTCGTTTTTTTTTTGTTTATTATACACACACACACACACACACACACACACACACACACACTAAGTTATCACTGATATACAATCTTATGAAGGTTTTACAAAAAGAACAATGTCGTTACTACATTCACCCTTACTACCGAGGCCCTCTGCCCCATACCCCACTGCAGTCACTGTCCATCAGTGTAGTAAGATGCCACAAAGTCCCTACTTGTCTTCTCTGTGCTACACTGTCTTCCCCGTGACCCCACACACACCATGTGCACTAATCATGATACCCTTCAATTTCTTCTCCCTCCCTCCCCACCCACCCACCTCCACAATATATGCCAGTCCCTTCTTAGAGTCTGCCCACACTATTCTTTTTAAGGATTACTCCTATTTAATCACTACACCCATCACCTCCACTTACTTCCTTTTTTGTGTAAAAACATTTAAGTTCTACTCTCTTAGCAAACTTCATTTATACGACGGTGTTATCAACTATAATCACTGTTACACATTGGATCCTGAGACCTTAGTCATCTTACAGCTGAAAGTCTGTATCAACCTCTCCTTATTTTCCCTACCATGGTAATACTTTTCTACTGTCTCTCTGAGTTGAACTTTTTTTTAAAAAAAGATTCCACATGTAAGTGATACCATAAAATATCTGTCTTTCTGTTTGGCTTATTTCACTTAGCATAATGCTACTCTTTAATTTACTATAGCACCACAAACTGGGTGAAATAATTTATTTTAAATATAACATGGCTTGTGTTGATTATATTTAGAGCACACCAAAAACTATCCACTGCACCTAAAAAGCCAGTTTCTGTATTTTAAAACAGTAATTGAAAAACTGTGATATGAAGTCCAGGAGTAAACAATAAAGAGAAACTTAAAAATCTATTAAGTTCGAAAAGTGTAAGTGAAAGAACATTAGTTTTTAATATTAATTCTAAGAATGATTTCTAGGTAATTGCCAGGCTTCATGTATAGTTACAATGTTTAAAAGGATAATAACCAGCTATCTCTAGACTTCATAAAGAAGGAAAGGTGGTTACAGTGCAGTGTGCTAAAGTGAATCTAGTAATAGTTAATTACTAAGTTTCTGTGAGGGTGGGAAGATAAAACCTAAATATAAAACACCATACTGAATCATTCAGGAATAGGCAGCTTAATCTTTCCCCAAGTAATTTTAAGAAATACACACCTTGCTTTAAAAAAAGCCCATCACCCCCTAAAGAATACACTCCAAAACCACTAGATCTAATATTTGAATTCAGCAAAGTTGCGGGATACAAAATTAAAACCCAGAAAACTGTTGCATTCCTATACACTAACGATGAACTAACAGAAAGAGAAATCAGGAAAACAATTCCATTCACAATTGCATCAAAAAGAATAAAATACCTAGGAATAAACCTAATCAAGGAAGTGAAAGACCTATGCCCTGAAAACTACAAGTCACTCCTAAGAGAAATTAAACAGGACTAATAAATGGAAATTCTTCCCATGCTCTTGGCATTCTTCAATGAACCAGAGCAAATAGTTCTAAAATTCATATGGAACCACAAAACACCCCAAATAGCCAAAGCAATCCTGAGAAGGAAGAATAAAGCAGGGGGAATTACTCTCCCTGACTTCAACCTCTACTACAAAGCCACAGTAATCAAGACAATTTGGTACTGGCACAAGAACAGACCCATAGACCAGTGGAACAGACTAGACAGTCCAGATATAAATCCAAGCATAAATGGTCAATTAATATATGATAAAGGAGCCCTG